ACCTAGAGAGTAAGTGTGGATAGACAGAAGTTAGTAGGTCTCATCTATGGGGCCTCCAATTGGTACCAGCTGTGGAAATTGAGAGGAACTAGTGTAGGCTGGTTGACTTTTATTGATGTCCTACTATATGCCAGGAATTGGACACACACTAAATCAGACTCACTCCTGTCCCCGGGGTGCTGTCAGGCTGGAGGAGAAGGCAGGGCATTGAGCGGGTCATTTGAATGCAGTGAGACTCAGGGGGCTCAGAAGAAAGAACTGTGATTTTAAAAGGGACTCCAAGGGAGTTAGGTGAGAAAAAAGGAGGGACAGAGGGGTGACACAGCGGGGGTCATGCCAGGAAACACTTTAAAGAAGCAGTGCCCTGAAACCAAGAGACTCCTGAATGGAACATGACATGGGTCGAGCATCAGAGGAATACTCAGTCTAGGCACACCTCTGAAGCTGGGTTAAGCAAGCTTGGGGTCCCACTTTACCACCACCCCAACAATTTACTCCCTGCGAGCTCCTTACAGCTGTAGTGAGGCCAATCCAGCAGGAGGGGATTCTGTGCTGCAGCCGAGACCATCTGGTGGGTCCATTTTTAAATTTGCCTTTGTTTTCATACTTCGTCAAGAGTGCAGCAGGCAGAGTGCTCCTAGCAACCAACAGGGGACTGTGGGTGAGAGAGGAACTGTTCCTCAGGGAAGCAAATGGACAGACACCGTGACAACGCCTGCCCCATTTCGGGGCAAGGAGCCAACTGCACGGAACAGCCCAAATCTGAGCAGGAGAAAAGCCATTTCAGGAAGAAGCCTTTACGCATGAGTTTGCCGCGATGGTGGGATGCCTCTTAAAGTGCATTGCGCAGAGTTTAAGTTTGGACTCCTGCTTTAAAGCACACTGGGTAAGAGGATCTCAAGGAGATTCTAAAAAGAGCCACCTCCAAGCAGCCTAGGAGCTTAGAGTAAGCAACTTAATCTTAAACTTGAATCTTTCCCCAACGCACAATTTAAAAAGGAAGAAAGTACAAAGCCGCGTGGAGACCCCTGCCAGCGCTGAAATGCTTACACACTCATTGAGTCGGCTTTCCTCCTGCATTCGGCATCATTGTGTGTGTTTTGTGAGATGGAGGAGGATTTTATAGATTGGTGTGGGATATATGGGCTAATGTTGGACTTAGGGGCTTGGACTGGACTGGGTTGGAATGCTTAATGTATAATTACCCTTTGTATAAAATTCTCTCTTATAAAATATGCCTGTTTATGAATTTTGTTTCTCTAGTCTACCTAGACTAACAGAGGTATCAAGGACTGCGAGAAACTTCTCAGAGTGGTAGCAAAGTTTCCTTTGACCTGGAGCGAGCTAACCCTGTCCCTGAGCATTCAGTTCTACCTTGTGATTTCTCTCCGAAGCCATTTGTCTGCAAAGTGCTTCACCATCAGTTGCAGTGAGGTCAAGTCTGAGGCATGGCAACCCCCTGTGGGCTAGAGTCGCACTGTTTCCAAGGAGGTTTGCAATGGCTGAATTATTGGAAATAGATCACCAGACCTTTTTTCCAAGGTACCTCGGAGTGGACTTGAACCATCAACCTTTCAGATAATAGCAAAGCATATTCATTGTTCGCCACACCCATCCTTTAAATCATTCTTAATGTGCACTTTTCTCCTATCTATTTCATTTCTTCCCAACAAAACTAGCACCCTTTATCCACCTTTACACTACTTAATCAAGCCATCCCCAAAGGGACCAAATCTCGTGTCAGAGATCAAGATATCTTTTGGGGACATCCCCAATGTACTAATCTATGCTGAGCCCAAGGCAAATCTAGCAGAAAGACAAATCCGTGCGTGTAGCTATTATTGCACCAAAAATCTCTTCACTGCAAAAAGCAAACACTCTGCGCCAGGCACTTTTCTAAGTATTGTAGGAGCTCAGTGAATACTCAAAACAGCTCCGTTGTTGAGGTTGTGATGCCCTTGAGTTAGTTCTGACCCATAGTGCCCTGTGCGCAACAGAACCAAACAGCGCCCAGGCCCGCACCAGCCTCCCCATTGTTCCCATGTGCGAGCCCATTGCTGCAGCCCAGGTGTCAGTCATCTTGTCCAGGGTCTTCCTCCTCCACACCGCCCCTCTATCAAGTATGTCCTTTTCCAGGGGCTAGTCTTTTCTGACAACGTGCCCAAAGTACATAAGCTATAGTACCCTGATTTTGTAGATGAGGAAACTGAGGCACAGGAAGGTTAAATAACCTGTCAAGGACCACAGAATTAGTTTTTGGCAGATCGGAGTACCTACTATTAACCCCCAAGCTCTTTCGGCTTTTCAGGCCCCATTCCTTATATTTAATATTGCAGATTTCTAGTTAAAAAATAAACTAAAAATCATCTTGATCACCTGTAGCCATTTCCTAGAGAAATCATCAACACCACAAATGCTGGTATTGGAAGGTAATTGGGAATACTTAGCTCCACCTAAGATTTGAGCCCTGGTGGTGGAGTGGCAAGGAGTTGAGCTGCTAACCACAAGATCAGCAGTTCGAAACCACCAACTTCTCCTTGTGAGAAAGACAAGGCTTTGTACTCTTTTAAATAATTATAATCCCAGAAACCCACAGGAGCAGTTCTACCCTGTCCCACAGGGTTGCTATGAGTTGGAATAGGTGGCAGCGAGTTTGTTTTTCCCTTTAACGACAATTTTGTTCTCAAAAGAGTTATTCCTCTGGGTTCACAAATGCTACTTACCTCCGTACTGTAGCTAAAATCCTGGACAAGTTGACAAAAACACCAAAACAACCAAAATAACAGAGCGTGCTTATCGAGTGCTTATTGCTTTGCAGAGGTCAGACCTCGTGACTGGAAGTGTCCTTATAATTAGGTGGTAATGACACCTGACTAGAGCACATTAAATATTTCAAGAGTAAATTTAGCAGAGTTTTAGCCTTGATGCCTTTAAGCTGGGCTTACAAAAAACGGTGTTCATTGCTGTTACTAACTACAAGGATGGCTTTATAAGACATAATCAAATTCTTCTGAAACTCTCACTGCCCAGACATTTCTCTTGGAGAGCCATTTGGGTGTCACCCATTTGACAGTGTCACCTGTGCCTTCTGGAGCCCCCCAGGGAAGTCACTGCTAACACCGTGGAGCCTTCTCACTATACCCAATGATCAGTCGCTCAACTGCTAACTGAAAGGTCGACAATTCAAACCCACGCTGTGACTCATGTAAACACTAGAGCCTAGCGTATATAGTGGACATAGTATTGCTATGTCTTCACCCGGGGTCACTATGAAGTGACATAGCAGCAGCACTCACGTTCCAGGCTTTTCACCTGAACCTGGGGTCACAGCGTGCTATTACTTCATCTTCACGAATGTGAAAACTGAGTCTCCATGGGGTTAAGAAATATGCACCAACCCAACACCCAAACCTACTCTGTTGGTGTGATACCAACTCACAGCCACACCATAGGGTTTCTGAGATGGTGCATCTTGACAGAAGCAGACAGCCTCAACTTTCTCCCACGGAGCAGTTGGTGGGTTTGAACCCTGGCTTTTCAGTTAGCAGTCCAGCCCTTACCAGACAGTCTCACCAGGACTCCTAAGAAATAGGTACAAGGCTAAATGAATAGCAACTAGTGGGACACTCACTCTGGAGCACCTGCTCGGCCTTTGACAGGTTTTCCCCGGGCACAGTCCTGGCACGGGTTACCTGTGTCAGGCTCATGTGGGCAGGTCACTGGTTCCCTGTCTGCTCTGTTTCCTCACTTGTCAAATAAGGATCCCTTCCAAGCTCAAGAAGTAGATGATGATAATTCAACACAAGGGACTGGCTGCAACCAGTGCCAACCTTTGCCCATTTACGTTCTTCTCTTGATATATCAGTGTCATAGAGATGGCCATTTAAGGATCACCGTTTATAATTTGATGTACAATTATTTATCATTTGCCTGAAAACCAAGAAGAACCGCGGGCCCCATCCCCACTCTCAGTGTGGTGTCCTTGAGGTCCAGCCATCTTTAAACAATTCCTGGTGACACAAAGCGTCCCCTACTGCACTACTAGCCCCAAAGTTGACCCGTTCCATGTTCAAATCCTAACCAAAAGATTGATGGTCAGTGCCTACCCACAGGTTCAGGACAAATGTGTGTGAACAGCGTATGAAAGCTTACAGCCTGAACAATGCTGTGAAGCCATTATATTCCGCACACGAAGGAGACCCCAGAGTCAGATAGACTAAGCCGGGAACTAAAGGCCACAAGCCCAACTTACAGATGTCTTGAGGAACCCTTGGGCCCTTCTTGGATGATTTGATGGCACTGCAAGAAACCAAGAACTCATAGATCCTTGCAAATCTGGCTTCCACTTGTAGTCAGTCTTATTCAGTGGATTCTTTCAGAGGTTTAAACCTCATCTCACACCTGCTAGCAGCAGTTCTCAACCGTCCTAATGCTGAAACCCTTTCATACAGTTCCTCTGGCTTTGGTGACCCGCCCCCAACCATAAAATGATTTTCGTTGCTACTTCATCACTGCCATGAGTGGTAGCAAAGTTTCCTTTGACCTGGAGCGAGCTAACCCTGTCCCTGAGCATTCAGTTCTACCTTGTGATTTCTCTCCGAAGCCATTTGTCTGCAAAGTGCTTCACCATCAGTTGCAGTGAGGTCAAGTCTGAGGCATGGCAACCCCCTGTGGGCTAGAGTCGCACT